CCCGCCCCCGCGCACCACGACGACGCAAAACTCACACATCTTATGCAGCGGCAGAGGTAATCGCATAAATAAAATGCATTTACGCACACTAGGAGAAAGAAAAAACTGCATAATTTAGTAAAGATACTAGAATAATACAAATTTACTGTTTGTGTATATTTAGTTATATAGTTCTACTAGCTGTTCCCGTGCGGCTACGTCCGCATGAAATTGTAAAAAAAATGTTTTATTTTTTACATTTGTCAAATTATCAATTGCAAATGTCAAAATAACATGACATGATGACAAAAAATTGCAATTTTACTTTCGTGATGTTGGCAGCTTGTGTCTTATGGTCTCTTTCCTACGGTAGATTTTTATCTATTTTATATTTTTATACCCCCTAAGTTTAATAGCGTGAAAATGTATAGCATAAAGCGTGTTGTACGTGAAAAGCTTTTTATAAAAGGAACAATTATTGAAAAATATGCTTTGATTGCTGACATCTTACGCGACAAAGTAGTGTATGTTTACGCTTTATTGTATTAGTATAGATATAATATAGAATACGTTATACATATGAAATACGTTTCTGATAGGCTAAAACAATGCGTCTTCTGATTCTCTTGCGAATCACATCAAAGTAGGCAAAAAGTGCATTACGTGGAATTAGAACATTAACGAAATTAATTTATTGTCCTTAGATGGGCGGCGGCTCTAGCGTTGGTGCGGGAGCGCAACGCCGAGCGTATCTTGGAGCGCGGGGAGCTGCCGGAGGATGACGTCACCAGTCTACTGCACGTCTACTGCAAGGGTCTCGCACAAGCGCACCCAGGTTATACAACATATACTATCATCATCATTATCATCATCATCACATCACATCACTACTACTACACACATTTCTATTTCTTACGATAAAGCAAAGCATCGTAATGCAACTTACATCTGCGAAAAAATTAAAATACATCCTAACTATGTACCTTACAGATAAAATAGTACGACCACAATCCTAGTAAAAGCAATGGAAAGTGTTTTGATAGTTATTTGTTTTTGCTCCAACTTATCTCTTATCCTTATTATCCACTTACTATTCTTGTTATTACAAGAGGTATTACATTTTTAAACGTGATGTTTTAGAAATGGTGGCCATCACTCGTCCGGTGAACGAGCTGTCGCAGAACTTGTCCTTCATGATGGAGAGCCTCTACAAGGTGTCTGTGGCGCTGCAGCGTCAGGACTACTGATGCCGACGTCGGCGAGCGCCGCACAAGAAGCGACCTCATTAACCTTCATACACTAACAATGTCAATATGTCAAACCCATCTGACATTTAAGGGCTCCAACGTAAACTAACCTATATTTAAAAAGCAAATTTTGCAATACGAAATAATATGATTACGCGTCAAACTTGAATAAACAATAGATATGACAGTTTACATAGGAACCATAACTTTCTCTAACCATAAAGTGTCAACTAGATCTGACAGTGCATAATACGACGAACTTGTCTGACCCAATGAGAGGTTCTGCTGTCGCGATTAATTACATCTAAAGATAAAATCTATTAGGCAAAAAGTAGCTATTCCTTGTACTTTAGGCAGTTGGAGGAATTTTTTGTTGCAATCTGTAGCCGGGTCAGTTAAGTTTTTCGATACAATCTATTCTGTCCTAACCTCACGTCAATGATCTCGTTTCTCCTTTTATCTTTATTTTATAGTTATCCAAATTTTGATATCTTTAATTTTCATTTCCTTCTAATTTTCAAATTGATCTCGATAAACTGATATGAAATAATTTTTAAACAATTATATTATTGGATATGTAAGAAACCAAAATATTTTATGAATACGACAAAGAAATCACCATCTTTGTAATATAATGAAATGTCAAATTAAAAGTTATTTTAACCTAGTGATAGCACGAAATTGTGGGATACTATTCAGAAATATACTAGAAAATTCTGTTTAATATTTATATCCTTTTTAAAATATTTTGATGACAAATCAATTTTATTTACGTCGTTCTTTACTTTTATTACAATCAATAGAAAAACTACACTAAAATAAAGCTGTATAATGAAATCACGTAACAAATTTTGTTCTAAATTTTACGAACTATGTATATTAAATTATTCTTAAATTAAATACAATTATTATTATATAAATAACTGTATAATGGCAATGTATATATTTTAAGTAATCGAAATAAAATCATGTTTAAAATTTTATTTATACAACAATGAAATAATGGAATTATTTATTATAATAATAATAATTTTATATCAGAAATATACGTAGTTACTAATTAATTCTTTTTCTGATTCAAAGTTGCTTCTAAATCGATGTTTTTATGTAATCCAATGAAATAAAAAAAAAAAACGATCATAATATCTGATTTAACTATCGATATTGAAATTTATTGTTACTCAAATTAAAAATTGTAGATAAGTGGCTTAATAAAAAAACATGTCTGCTAAAAAACTTTTATCGCTTACAATTACTCAAATGTGTACGATATACGTCTTTTTGTGAGCTTGTTACCAAAGCGGTTTAGTAAAATGTGAGTACACGATACGTTCGTTACTATGGATTTTATTGTTAAAACTCTCTTTTCTTTCTATCATCCATGTCTATGTTTGTATGAATGTTGATTTAAGCCCGTTACACAACTCCAGTTTTAATTGCAGTTCAACTGTGAACTATAAAGTTAAACTAGCAGATCTAAAGCTCTCTACAGACGCTATGTTCTGACAGTTAAAATTGCCTACACAAACTCAGTATTATCTGATTAGTTCGACTGTGCAGCGAAGTTAGTGGGTTTAATTTTGCCTATACACATATAACTGTACAAACCTACTATTTAGTTAAAATTGAACGTGTGTAACGGTCTTTTTATCAATTATGTTCAAAGTGTTCTCATGTATGCGTGTCTGTGCATGTCTACGATCAGTGTCAATGTTGTCAGTTTTTAAATGTTTCTAGTATAGAAATTTAATCCCCGCCGCAGTGCGTTTGCTTACCGCCTTTACGTTTGAACAATCCTCATTTTTATACATACACTATACTCAAACTATTATTTGTGATATTATTTCCTTTTTGTTTTTTAACTGATAATGACAATATTTATTTTTAGTCTAATGTTACATTTTCGCATCGCAGTCACTTCGCACGACGGCGATTTTAATATTAAATGAAGATTATAGATAAATATACTAATAATGTCTGTAACCAATTGTAAATGTATTTCATGTTTATGAATAATAAAGCATCAATTCTAAAATGTTGTTTTATTTTTTGATGTATACAGCAAATACTTAAAATGAACAAAAGATAGATATATATCCAGAGGCGGAGAAAAGCATATGGACGGTCGCCCACAGATTTCAAATTGTGTCAATACGACTGGTGTAGAATAGCGAATTATTTTTTTCAAATACCAAAAATATGGTGCCACAAGGACATTGTGTTTGACACTGACAGGATGGCGCCTCTGAGCATTTAGGGTTACCAGTAAGGTAATATTTCCGCATTAAAAGGAAATTCTTTCCTTTTGAAAATGAAAAGGCAAATTGTAAAGGAAGTACTCGTACCTTACAATGTAACTAGGAAATGCTCCAGACTTCGTTTGTCGGTTAGAAGGCTCTATAGGTAAAGAATCTTTGTAGCAAACTTTTAGCAATGCACTCTCTTGAGACAGTGAGGGAAGGAATAGTCTTAACATAATAGAAATAGTCTTGCTTAGCGCTCATCTACAGAATAATAGAAATCTTCAATATTGTTGTTTATAGTCAACGCACAGTACAACTATGTGGTTAGTTTTTGATACATTAATGAATACACACAGTAATTTCCTTAATACGTAAGTAAATATGATGTCAAAAAGGCCATACTTCCAGGTGCACAAAACACGTTACAATAAAGGGTCGGTCACTGCAATTTAAATTAGGAAATAGAACAACTTTCAGCAAAATATTTTTAAGTCAATTAGTATAAAACATTTTTTTTTAATTACAAATTCAAAATAAGTGTCGCCTTGAGAGTTAGGGAATTTCTTGATTAACAAATGGTAGCAAATTCTGATTGCAACAGACACAAGATGATTCACATTTTCAAATGTAATTACTGGACCCCCCCCCCCTACTTCTTCTCAGCGATAAAAATATCTCCCACTTTAAAAAAAAACTCTTTCAACTCGAATTCTTTCATGGAATAACATTAAAAAGCCACACAAAATATGAAAAGTAATGACGCGAAGTGAACTGACAAGCTATGTTACTATTACCCTGACATTAAATGTCACTTCTCATTGCCGGGTGCTAATCATATATATCCATATACTATTTTGAACCTAAGCATACTAGTCGTTGCCCGCGACTTTGTACGCGTAAGGTTAAATATTTCAAAACATAAAACTCTTGATTAACTAGAGTTATTAAAAAAACTCCGTTGTGTCTTCGATTTCGGCGAATACCTCCAAACAATGTTCTGTTATTCGAGCTGTCGCCCTCAAACTTTGTTAGCGCGGATTTTTTTTTAAAAGTCATCTATCACATACCGGCAGTAAAAGGAACAGATGAAAGGATGTGGCATGTGGCAGAAATGAGAATGTTAAGGTGGATTTGTGGGGTAACACGAATGGATAAGGTACGGAATGAGTATATTAGAGGAAGTTTGAGAGTAGCCCCAGTAGTAGTAGTAGAGAAGGTAAGGAGTAAAAGGTTAGCATGGTATAGGCATGTTATAAGGAGGGATGAATTGCATGCTACAAGAAGAACGTTAGTTCTGAGTGTGGAAGGGTGCACCGGCAGAGGTAGACCTAGAAAGAGATGGATGGATTGTGTAAAAGGTAGAGTTATACGGAGGATAGAAACCTGTTGCGCCGACCTACGGGAGTAGGATATGGAGAAAGTTGATGACCTATCATGTGATATGTACCTGGCGTGCATTTACCTTCTAATTTAATTAAAATGTAGACTATTTTGATTTATAGTATTTATGGAACAGTGAAATTTAAAAAATGTATACGATTTATAAAACATAGTAAGGACAATTTTAACATAGTTTATTGACGTTCAAATACCGACATTTTCCTAATGTTGAAATTTTTCCTTTTTTATAGATGCTACGGCCCACCGGTGATCTTTTCCCATACAAACACAAGTTTTTTTACACGATGTACACGAGCGGGTATAAATTTTCATTGACAGCACTGAGGAGGTCGAGTCATCAATACTATATATATTCTATATTCAATACCTATATAGTTTTTTATAAATCGATTCGGCTTAGCGACACTATTATATTATTACAAAACTTAATTTATGTTGGAAATTTTTTTAATTGCGGTGATTTAGAATTACTTTTACTTTACTTTTGGGGTAAACTATTTGTAAGCTAGCAACATTGTATTCCATATCCATAATGCATGATTCACACTTGGCCAGTAAAATTAGATAGATGCAAAATACAGTTATAAAGAGTTTGGACTCACAGGCGCTAGTTAAAATTCACACTGTCCCAGTTGATTTCCAGTTCAGTTTAAATTGTACTGGCCAAGTGTAAATCGCGCATTAAGTACACGTATATTATCGCAAGAGTAGACGAAACGGAAGCGACAGCGACACTGTCGCCAAGCGGTTTGGGACCGGCAGTTAGTATTGTTGTGTTATTTTTATTTATCCGACCATTTCATAAAATAACTTCCGTAAACTATAAGTGCAAATCCAGTCATCGTTTTCAACAAAAAACAACATTAATTATGGAAACACGGTATTATGAAGGTTGTGGACGGGAAGGACCCATCAGATGTATATTTCTCGGAGAATTCCATCCAGTTGCAGGACCTAAAATAGCGTGCCAGGTTAGTAAACAGCGAAGTCCTAATTTTTTTTATTAAGTTAAAAGTATCAAGTTTACGTTTGACTATATAACTATTCTATAACTGTCCCAATCTTATTTAACGTGTTCAAGTTACTTCATCACATATTTAAAAAAATAATAGAAATGTTTATTGTTTACTATTATCCATGCAAAAATATAAGAAGCGACCAACTTCACTTTGTTTTTGTGAAGCATTGCAAAAATTTCATATGCATAAGAAAATGGCGTGTTTTTTTATCCATTTTTAATTGTAGCATAGTGATTCATTGCACATATTTACTTTTATGTAACACGTGAACATTTTACAAAGGTTATATACTCATATAGATTAGTTGTAACTTTTACAATTAAACACAATAGGTAAAGCAGTTAACATTTTTTAGGTTACATTAACAATAGCAAAGCTTGGTACATTGGTAACACTAATTGTAGTGTATGATATGCATCATAAATGAATTTTTTGAAATGAAGGTAATATAAATGATAAAATAAATGAAGCATAAATGAAGGTTACATTTTAAATGATTTTTTTAATGTTTGTCACTTCAGGCAAAGGTCATCCACAGATAGGGTGCTCTGTTTATTATGACACAGTTATTTATGGATTTTGTTTTTGTTCACAGTTTCCTGAAGATTTTATTTCAAAGGATTTATTTGATTCATTAAGCACTTACATAATCCCTAAACCAATTTTGCAAAAGAAAAACATAACTTTGTAAGTATATTTTTAATAAGTTTTTATTAAAACTGTACAAAATACAGCACAAACAATATCTTCTAAAACTATAGACTTGGCTGTAATCTTTGCAGTTGCAAATTATAACAATAAGCTGTTTTTAATTATTTTTTTTGAAGACTATGGATTATTATACTTGAAGGTTGCTGGTCACTTAATTATTGTATTAGTTGGTTTGTACTATCTTAATTGACATAATCACTGCCACTCATAGCTATGACTTCATCCTCCGACCTCATATCAATGAGTACTAGCTTTTTTTTGCACATTTTTTTATGTTTGGCAATAGACTATGTTTTTTTTTATGTTGTGTTTCTTCTGTGTGCACCTGTTCTTTATATTCTTATCTTAATTTTTCTGTAAAGTAAATGGATATTATTAAATTAAATTCAGACTAATTAGTGACGGTAAAATCTAAATATATATATACCATTAAGATGTCTAAAGAAGTGCAAATAAATTATGGTAGCTAACATTTTATATTTTTTTGATGGTACCAACCAATAGTTATAAAGTCTATACTCACTAGGCTATAAAATCTTGTTTGACTATAATCGTAATATTGTTTGTACTTTACAAAACTTGTAAAAAGTGTCATCATCATTTACATGTGTTACATGTTATGCATTTGGTATGCAACCTAATAAGCTTATTGTAAAAAAAAAAACATTTTTGGAATTACTTTTTGAGTTGTTGAAAAATGAAAATTATTATTTTTTCAGCAATGCACCAGCTCACAAGATATTGGGTTACCCAATTTACCTCAAGAGTCCACGCTATCCACGAAATGTTTACGTCTTTAACCTGTGCTTTGTCTGTGATAACTGGTCACGAACTGTGCAGTATGAGCCCGTAGTAAAGAAACTAGGAGAACATTTGGTATGTAGGGCAATTACACATGAGGACAATAATGCTAAACACTCACTAACTAAGTTTTCCTACTAGTTGTGTCTCATCTATCTATATTTTTTTTTATATGAATGTATAATTAAAAGTATTACAATACATTCACAGATAACATTGGAAGAAGAGAGTGCGTTTGTGTCTGGTGGTTCGTCCCGTCTGCCCACTTTCCTCGCTCATCTACTGTACGACTTAAACACTTATCGCAAGACAACTGTCACAGGTGAGATAAACATAGCTCTCAAATCATCATTACCATCTAAATGCACTCACGAAGGGACTCAAAGCCTACTCTAAGTTAGGGTGACTAGGCCTTAGTCAACTATGTCAGCCCACTGCGGGTTGGTTGACTTCACACATATCTTTGATTTTCTTCGCCGATATGTGCTGGTTGCATCATAGTATTTGCTTTCTTATACCCTAGTGTAATTGAATACAGTGGATTCTGAATCAAGTGAAATTACTGACAACCTATAAAATCTAATAATTTAGACTTTGACAGTGGATTTTTTCCTCTTTGTTTTTATTTGTATACTATCCTTATTTAGGTGTTTAATTTTTTTTAATTCTTACTAAAATTATAAATGTGACAGTTAAAATGGATGAATATTTGTGAGAATCGCTCCAGAATGGCTCAATGCATTTGTATCAAATTTGTCATAAATGTAGAACATTCTGGAAGAACACATACACTAATTTGTTTTTTAAATCCTTGTGGTACTGGACAAAACGTAGTAGCTAGTATATGTATTCGAACAGAAGGGGATACGATTATACACGTGAAGGTGACGGAGATACGTAACGACCCAAGCCCTGTTAACGACCACGACGTCCCGGTGTTAGTGGCATCCATCGGTCAGCCGCGACCAGGCACCTCCCGGAACTCACAGGTTGCATCGGACTCCACCGATGACATCTCAGATGGGCTGGACAACCAACAGCCCATGGAAATATACACTAATTCCAACTGGGACCTTACCACTAAACAGGTAACAAGATAAATTACTCTTGGTTACCATGGTTACTGAAATTTTACCTATTGTTATTTAAATTTGACTTTTTCCAGCTCTTACCATACATAAACGGGTATTATCACGTGGCCAAGATTGCAGCTAAAGTTAACGTAGAGAAAACTCTTGTCAAAGCATGCATTCGGAACTTGGTCTACTACGGAGTGGTAACTATTTATGTTTTTAACAGTACAGATAATGTCTTTAAAGATATTTTACTAATGTTTTTCCGTTAATACTTAAAAAAAGGTTCCTATTAAGAAAACATTAAACATATCACTTGAACTAATGTAATTTATTGTCTATGGATAGTCTATAGATAAGTCTATTTGTAAATTTACATCATTCTAAAAGTATAATTGTTTCAAAATATAATTTCTCATTTCCATTGATTTCAACTAAGAAATTGTCATAGTTATCTTTGTATAGTATTAATTTGTAAGATTATGGTAATTAAATATGTATTAAAATGTAGTAATGTTTTGTTTTCAGGTGAAACTCATACCTTTGCTGAAGTTTAGTAACATGTATCGAGCGACCGCTAAATTAAATAGCATCAAAACAGACCTTGAACTGCAAAACGCTTGTCTCTCTTTTATACGACTCAGAGGCAAGAGGAAGGTATGTTATTAGTATTACTAATTAAATAACAGTAATATTTAAAAACTCGTAATAATATAGCATATGGTAATCCATTGAATAGATGAATCTTACTATTTGCTTCATCATCCTCAGCTCACTATATGTCCCCACCGAGGGGCTCGGAGCCTACCCTAAAGTTAGGGTGACTAGGCCATAGTCAACCACGCTGGCCAAGTGCGGGTTGGTTGACTTCACACATATCTTTGAATTTCTTCATCGATATGGGCAATCATCACGATGTTTTCCTTCACCGTAAGAACGTCGGCTAAATTATGTACATATGAAAATTCGAAAAATCGAAAATCACATTGGTACATGGCGGGATTAGAACCCAAGACCTGTAGATTACAAGTTAAGTGTTCAAACCACTGAGCCACCGATGCTCATACTATTTGCTTACTAAATATTATAAATGTTAAAGTTTAGATGGGTGTTTTTTTACTAAATATCTTTAGAACAGTCTCGATGTAATTTACCACAGATGTAGAACATATGCAAAACACATTGGCAACTATTTTTTTAATTCCTCCAACAGCAGAGTAGTGTTTCCCATAATATTCGGTCGAAATGGGTCCAGCCGTTTCGGAGATTACCCGGAACAAACGTGGCTTGCGGACAGACAGACAGACAGGCAGACAAACATTTTTTATATGCGATTTTCGTTATCAGCAACACAAATACATCATCTTCGCGAAATCTGGAATTTTTGATATTACAGACACTTCAATTTGATTATATGTATATATTAGATTGGTTACAAAATCAGACATTTAAGGGTAACCCTTGAAAGCCTGATGTTAAGCCCTTAAAAGCTTGGCAGAGTATACATGATTGTGCAGCCTCGCATCGAGGAGGTACTGCAAGTGCTGAGCCTGCTGCAGCAGGGGACCTCGCTGCGCTCCGTCAGCGAGCGCTTCCACGCCATCTGCAGGCGCGCGCGTTTCGATGTTCGCAATCTCATCGTCTTTACACAGATGCACGGACTTGTACGCTGTTTAAAGAGGTAATACTTATTTTATTGCTCAATTTCTTGACAATTATGCATTTTTAATTCATTTTTTTTGAAAGAGTAAAGTATTTAATTTGTTCAGTATAACAACAAATGTTATGATATTGTAGACTTGTTTAAACTTAGAAAAATGTCTAATTCTTAAAAAAAAATTAAGAAAAATAATTCCTTGAAAATACGATCACGTAAGATGGTTTGCAGTGTCGCCTTGGTATAGAGTAGAATAGTATCTCTGTGTGCTGTTGTGCTACTGGATACTGAACTATAGTACTGAATTGTGAGTTATAAAAAGTATCAACAACTAGCTGATGCTCGCGACTTCGTCTGTGTGAAACTAAACAATAATGAAAGATAAAGCCTATGTTTGTCACCGATAACGAAGCTTTTAATGGTTATAGAATTTTTGAAATTAGCCCAGTAGTTTTTAGGTCATTCAATGTTTGCGATCTTTGTATCAGAGTGGATAAGAGACTCAATTTCATCCGAATTATTTAGTGCAGAAGCAATTAAGTTTGTTGCAGTTTAATATGCGTAAGATACGGGCTTACCACGATCGGGTTGTTTTATCTCCGGATTTCTTACGAACAATATATTTGTAAAAACAGTTATATATGGAGCAATTTGTATTATAGTTTTCATATATTTGCAGCACTTGTTGACGAGAGTTGGTGCCATAAAATTTTTGGTGTAACGGAAGCGTCAACCGCCGAGGTATCTAATTGAGTAAATTCTTTCAGATATCCCACATACTGTCAACGTGTACGGTCATCCGCCGGCTCAGATGTTAAAGGTTTGCAGAAACTGTTCACAGGAGAGCGATGTACTGATGAGATCTGTTGCCTCACCTCTTTAGATATGGCCTCCTTGGAACGCGTTATAGAAGACGACCCCAACGTCGCTGTTATACTCTGCTAAAATTACATCGTTTTTATCACAAACGTATCAAAATAAGCAATAATGAAGCTATTTTAGTATATACTTCGAGAGTTTTTTTGAGGCTGCATGTTAAAGTGATAATTGTAGAGATATTTGGGATCGCTGAAGCTTATTGATTTTTTTTTAGTATTGTAAAGTAAATTAAGTTTTTTTTTACATTAATATGTGCTCTAGGTTAAGATATCGAGTGCAATAATTTACCCCTAATGTTATCTTCTTAACATATTATATTTAATATCTTATTAATGTAATTTTCGTCATGTAAATCTTGTTATATATACATTGTAAAGAAATGCCAAGAGAATATCGTTTTCGTTATTTGGGCATAATAAAAAAACTAAAATCTTGCATCAAACTTTCAAAAAGATTTCAAACCATTTAATCTTTAAAACATTATTTTAATTTCAAAATTAAATAATAAAACTGGCAATTTTATACAAATAATAATCGCTTTTAGCTTCTTTTGCACATGTTCTATAACTGTATTGTCCAATTTTCAGGTTATATATATTTAGAGTAATTACATTTAAATGAGGTGTTATATATATAGTAATGCAAACTTAATAAAGACCACCATTTTAATATTTAACTAATATGGTTGAAATGATTCATGTAACTATTATGTGGCATTCACGTGCTTTATAGTCTAACGATGCAATACACGTTATTTTTAAGTACATAATGTGGAATTCACAAGGAAGGGAGAATTATAAAAAATCGGTAGCAGTTAATTTTTAATATAAATTTATAGTACGTCGTAAAACTGCACATAAAGGTTAAGTAGAAATGCTAATTAAAAAAACTCAAGTTAACAAGTTTACTCTCACCTCGTTCTCGCCGCTCGTTTAACCCCTTATCATTTTTTTTGTATAAAAAAGCTACTAAAACATGTGGTTTTTGATTATTTTTCTGTCTAACATTAATTTATTAATAGCTTTCTATTTAATTTTCATTAATGTTTCAAATGTATTCCACAAACTTAAACTACATAACCGTTTAATATCTGGCATAATAAATATTTTAACCTAAAATTGTACATCTTAGTGAATTTATTACTTTAATTAATTGAAGACTGAATATTTAAGATACAAATTAAGATTAATAGCAATATTTATAAACAAATTCATTATATATTGAGTTTGAGTTTTTTTTTATTTATTATGTGCTTTAAGCGATCCTTTTCATTTTTACTAATCGTGTATGCTTGTTGGGAAAAATATTCTTAATTTTGGGCTTCGCCTGTCGATTCATTCAAATCAAGAAAATTATTTTGTATATGGGGTATGAGACATTAATAATTAACTTGTAGTTTAAGTTAGTAAACAATCTAAGTCACAATATAAAAGTATTAATTTAAACCATTCTGTCCATGAATGATACTCGTTTTATGTTATTTAGGAGATTTTACTCGAATTAATTTATTGATTCAATGTTCCGTCGTTTATTAAGTTAACGTAACTGACGGTCGGTAATAACTTAATCGTGTAAATGTTTAATATTCGATGTTATAAAATCAATAATTCACAAATTATTTAAGAATTCTTTAAAATACCTTTAATCTAAAATCTTTTTGTCAAAAATTATTTTGTCTCAAAATTAAATGTTGAAGATAATTTAATCAGATTTTGCACAATTTATTCATTAACTAAATAAATGTAAATAATTACTCTACGATAAATCTTACTGTTCTGTTACTCACTTTATAATGTTCAATCTTAAGAAAAATGATTGGTTTTTGAGTCTGATTTTGTTATTGATTTTAAAATTTCAAATGACATTAAACTTATTTTCCTTTATTTGGTTTTCTTGTTTTGAAGCAAATGTTTTTAAAATCACAGGGCTGAGTTTGATCAATGTTTCTTATCCAATACGTCTTAAGTAATAAAGGAAATATCAAATTAAATAATATCGTTTGGTAACTTTTATACATTTTTAAAATAAATTATTTATGTCAATGTACTCACAATAATGTAGTTGATGTATTATTAAGTACCTATTGTAAATGTATTTATTCATTAAAATAACAAGTAAAATAAAGAGAGCGCACGCTTCTGACTGAAATATCGCTCAACTGTTTAGTCTGGCTTTGTACACACTACTTGGGCACACTACTCGATTTTAGTTGTGCAACTAAGCAGTTGAATTGCTTGCGAAACAATCGACAATCGCACAACAGTTGTGTTATATTTTAGTCAAAAGTATGCGCCCGCTCTGAATAGTATTTTTAAGTCAATTCCTACTTTTAGTTACTTAGTTTATGGAGTGGAATAATTTGATAACCATGTTTAAAGGATGAGATGTGTATGACTTTGTGGTAAAATGAAAATTACTTATATTAAAGCCTTGGAAAAATAATTTGATGCTATTTTTTGTAGTTCTATTTGTAGTTTATTTAACAGTAGTAAAGTATTCAAGCCAAATACAATTTGTTTTATTACCCACTTACCTATCCGTAAATGTCTGTTGTCGCAACACCTGGTCTAAATCCCCTTCCTATGCGTCCTCTCTGGGGATTAAATGTACACAACTAGGTGAAAAAGAGACAAGGTCGCTTGGTTATTTTGGCAAGTTTCGGTGGCTCGTTGTCACCTTTTACTATTTAAAAAATACTTCAGCTCTTTCAGTTGAAACGATATACGTTTTTGTCCACATGCATGAAAATAAACGTTCTGTTGCCAGAGTTGATTAACAGCAGCCTGTTGCATACTTGTTAGTCAATGCAAGAATACAAAAAAACGAGTTAAAAGTCATGAGATAGAAAGCAGTTATAAACTTTATTAACGGAGTTGTTAGGAAGGAATGGTAAAAATATCTTTTCTGTCTGCCCATTCGAAGTAAGCATCCACGACAACAACTGCTAGCTGGTATGTCGTATTCATGCATACATAAACATAATGTTATAAGAAAGGTAAAGTTATAAATAAAATAGTAAGTTAAAAAATATCAACGATAGTGTAAAATAGGAAATTAATTTTGTCTTCTAACCCTAAACCAGTTTTGGTATCGATTTTTTGCATATGGCAATATCATCGTACTTCCAATACGCATGTCAGGACACAGACTTGTATAAAACTGGACTGAGCAATGCTAACAAAGAGGTATTAAAGTGAACTTTAGGGTTGTAGATTTAAGATTCAATTTACGATGCTGAAATGCATGTAGTAAGAACGAAACATGAGAGATAGTAACGTGAATGTTGCTGTCCCTTTCTTTCCCATGCAAGCAAGGTAAATTACAAAGGGTGAGTTCAGTGGTATTATAGTATTATAAATTCTAAATATGTTTTCTTAGGTTAATAATACATAAAATAAATCTACATAAAAAAACACTTTCTATAAATGTCTCTATCGGCAAAAAAATGAGACGCAAGTGCTCAATCCTGTTTCTACATTATCCACGAGTCAGGGCAGGGCAAGTATTGATGTTGATGTATTGATTTTCCCCGGTCCTGCTACCCATTCCACTTATTTATTTTCGCATTGTGCTCTTTGCGTTACTGTGGAAAGCATCGAAGATTGACGAAGTTTAAAAGGATTTAAATCAAATAATGACGCTTAATACCATCATGTGTTTACTGTTTATGGAGGTAAGTAATTATGCTCATATATAATTTAGTTGATGTTTGAAAATAATTTGTTCTCTTACATACGATGGATCAGCCATCACCGAACGGAAAAAATACTAAGAGAACATTCCAGATTTATTGTTTATTATGCGTTTGTGATGTTATTTTAACAATGCTGTGCGGCTTTAGCTTTTTTTCGATTTTTTTTACTTGTATTTAGTCTATGGTGGCCTCAGAAAATATCGGTATGTGAAAAACGTAATGAACTGTTTTTTTGGTCAGCAGCGAGTTTTCAATACAGGCGATTAACTCTTAGAAACATTTGTATGTGTTTTGTTTAATTTGCGCAGAGAATAGGTGAATTAAATTGTTTGAATTTTTGTTTTAAATGGTAATTTAAGCTTTATTTTCTTATATTACCAGTGTAGTTATGAAGAAGCAAGGAAATAAATATTTTAATCAAGTGTTCCTTAAGTTTTTTACCTATTTACCATGACATGGGCGTGATGTGCTATTGCTGTGTATTTTTAATGATGGGACTTGAAGGAAGATGAAAGAAGCTTTCTTTCATTTTTTCTTATATTTTAGAACAGGATAACAAGCAATATAAGTTATACATCGAGAGTTTGGCGCTAATCGAGAATTGATTTCTGAAATGTCATTTTACAACTGACAACACTGGTAAAATTTACTCGAACTAAAGATCTTGAAGGAATTTTTTGCCTCACTTTTGTGTCCTGGATTTGGAATCTATATTTCGATATTACAACGTTCTGTTTAGTTTTACTCACATACCGTATGACTTTAAAATAAATGACTGTCAAACAAGGACCCTCTTACAAAAACAAGTACGTCCCATGAAAGCGGCGCTGCTATCGGTTGGTTCTGTCAGAAAATATGTTAAACCTACTTGGACATGCAATGTGACATATCAGGAGAGCGCTAGTGAGCTATCATAATTTAGTTTCACTTATGCTCACCGGTTTAGATACCTTATCGGTCTATACCTTACCTAGGTCGTTTCGAGATTTTCACTTTGACATTTTGACGACTCACGTCCATAGAGTATCGAATTCATTTTATATAAATATTAACATCGTACTTATTTATGGGTATCACAGAAACGAATGTACAGGCATAACGATCAGTAATGAACTATCGAAAATGGGTTCGACAAAACAAATCGAATAAAGAAATATGTCCTGAGTTTTGGAAATCCCTACTGTATTTTGTATTTACGTAGTTATTTGGCTATCATATTTACCTGTAAAACAATTTCATACCTTTCCTTGGGTTTAAGGTTCTTTATTTCTTTTTGAATGAAGTAATAATGGAAAGAAACAATTTTAAAATAATAATACCCTAACTATCGATTCGCCCGTTAACTCGCAGTGTTAACTTTGACATCCAGACTCGAGTTGGTTGCAAAAAGAAAGCCCAAAAGAAAAGCTTTCGTTTCGAAAAGTAGCAATTGTGCTATTGCATAGCCTATTTTATAGTAATTATTTTAGTAGTTTTAGAGTTATCCTAGCGGATCAATAAGCATCTTAGTATTTCGAAGTATAGTTTGTACAACAAATTTCTACGAGGTGAGGCAGATACCTCCCCATGCCCAACACATAATACATGCACTTTAAAATTTGCTTACAAATTTAAATTTAGTCGGATTTATTTTAGTCATCGAAAGCGATGTGCATAAGCTGTGCATATTTACTATACATTAGCCAATTTTTCAGGACTAGTGGCCAGGCATCATCATGGCTTGCTCCAAGCTACAAATATCGGAGCTGTCCTCCATGGACCCAGAAAATTATGAGAAATTCTTTCGTGCAATACAATGGGTTCCAAATAGGTAATCTTTATGCATTATTTGTTAGCTGGTGTTGGAGAAACATATAAATTGTGCTCTGCTTCTTAGTGACTTAAGTTAAAGGTGGGTTAATAATTTAATCATACATGTGGTAAACAGGAAATTGGATAAAAAATCCCATAAAAAGATCTCAAAAAAGGAAAGATTGAGGAGAATTAAAGCGACCGGCTCTGTGGGTATTTGCATCGCACCCGTACTGCTGCGGAATGCGTCACATTTCGCAGTCTACGCCACAGTCCGCAAGTCTATACTCATCCGATCTGGACAACTGCGTTCAGTAACTACTGAAACACCCGAAAACAGCGATAATGAAGAACCATCCTGCAGTCATCACCATTCTCAGCCGAGAGTGCCAAAGGTATTGTAACTTAAATACATTTTAAAATACCATACGTTTTACATTCAAGCAACTACAATGGATTCGTTTTAATTACAGTCGATTATTGTTCACCTAATTAACAAAAAAAGCCGTAACTCTTTACTAAAGATCAAACCTTTTTTGTTTCAGATCACAGGCATTGGTCTGCGCATGGTTTTCACTCTGATTTCCGAATCCAGATTCACAAATGTAAGTTTCTGCGAGAAATCACTAACAGCTTTGTTGGATGTATTACAAGGACATACCCCGGAAGAGATGACTCAAGAGCCCCATGAGGTAAATGAATGCGTTCATTAAATAATAAATGTAATAAAACATTCTTGTGTGATTTCAAAAAGAATTGTTCAGGACAATACGCCTACTGATTATTATATTATATACATTTTTGAATACGCCACAAAATAGCAGAGGACATTTTTCTGCAGCTGCCCTGCCCTAGGTCTTTCCCTCTTCTTCGCTGGCGATATCCATGATACAACACTGAATAGATTAAGATGGCGGCCATCTCAAAATGGCACATTACCTATTTATTTCAAGATAATGATTTTAAGAATGAAGACTTATATATAGTTTATGTTGTAGATGATTTCACTATTACATTCAATACTGGCTGAGTTGTCCAGCGGCATCGGCCCGACCGGAAGAATTGACGTGCCGACTAACTACACCTCGCAAAGCAGTTCTTGTTTAATAGCACTTTCAGTTGCCAAGGGGGAAGCGGAGCTGATACTGAATGCTATAGCTACCTTGATTATGGTCCCTAAACCTTTGGCTGAACAATATATACAGGTAAACAAACACGTGAATATAACAAACGTTAAATACAAATAATCAAGGCAGTTTTATTTATCACTAGTTGTTGCCCGCGACTTCGTACATGCAATATTAAGATAAGAAATTAGCCAAAATATGCCCGTCTATGTCAGCTACCCTTCAGTGAAAGTCCGGTCGAAATCGGCCTAGCCGTTTCGGAGGTTGCCGGGAATTAACGCGGTTTGCGGACAGACAGACAGACAGACAAAATTTTTTAATGCGATTTTCGTTATCAGCAACGCAAATACGTCGTGTTCCCGAATTCCGGATTTTTTTTTGATATTACAAACAGATACTCCAAATTTATTTTATCTATAGATGAAGATTATTTTTCGGTGCACAATTTTTTCAAAGTGTACTTGGAGGAATGAATTCCTTGTGTTAAACATTAAGTTTTTAAAAATATCTTATAACAGCTATAGTATATATTGGGATAAGTACAATTATAATATTCGATCATTTTAGGTACCTTCTAATTTGATCACTCTGCAAAGAAGCGTACAGTCAGTGATACTTGGTGAATCCTCGCGGAATCAGTGGATTAATTTCGGAGTGCCCCATCAAAGCCTCGTGTCAAGTTTCTCAGTGGATTTACCTTGCATGATGTCAGGGCCCGGGGAACTCATAGTCCGTGCCCTGGCCTCGGACGGATGCTATCTCTATTTGTACACCGCAAAAGGACTCATTAAAATTGGATCTGGATACGGCAGCTCCATAAGACAGCATGTCTATCAATCTAAATATGATTTCTTCAACGGTGACCGCCACGGATGGCTGGGACATTGTCAGGTACAAATCGCTTCTTTTTTTTATATACATATCTTATGTTTTGTGGCATTTAGATTTATTTTTTTTACAGAATAAACTATATGTGAGGATTGGAAGAAAAAAACCAGAGGTGTACGAAGTGAATAAAGAAACCTTAGAAGTTATAAGGATACTTCGACTTGATCCTGGAATACCCGGCACCCCCGAGCCGAAGTGTGCCGTGTTTACGGACGGCTATCAACTGGGACTTATCCTACTTACTACTTATGTAAGTGCGGTTTTATACTTATCGTCTTCCTCTTTGACACAGTATGTACTATTACATACGTCTCTATCAAGGTTCATACTTAAATTTACCCTACATATGTATCATTGTTCACGCAATCCATTATTACTTTCTTAAGACATCCTCTATCTTTCTAGCCTATTATATTACCTTTCTTCTTTATAACATAATGTTTTTTTAAGGACAATCTTACCGTCAAAATGTACGACGTAAATGAACAACCTGAGCAAAATAATGAATCCCCTATCGTGCTGACTTCTCGGAAAGACTTCAATGTACATCTGTTGAGGCAAAGGACTATAGCACTGGGACGTCCGCCGTTTGACGACGGCATGTCAAGGAGGCCTGGTGACTTTGACACGCCAGTACTGATGCAATTCGACGATAATGTTCGCGATCCCTTGAGGGGTATCTGCGTCGGTCAAGACTTCGGTTTGTTGACAACTGCTTCTGGAAAGGTTAATGTCAACCTTAACTGAAGAACAGCTGAACTAATTGGTAGTTATAAGTGATTCAAAAATTATGTTGTTTTACAATTAGGTGTACTACACTGGTAAAGGCACAAGCCTGGGATACAAGATGGCGTCCCCACACATTGGACGATGGACTCTCATGAAGGAGACATTATTCAACAGGCACGAACCCAACGTGAAGAAGTGTAAAGTTGTTCAGGTAAGTATTATAAAGCTATCGTAAAATTTTAATATATTACAAGAATTCCACACAGTAGATAACTGAACAATTATATCAACACTGACAAGCTCCGTAGAGTACTCTTTTAAAAATGACAGCTAAAGCTGGCATACCAGCAACTGGCACGTGTATTGGCCTAAAGATGAGATCAAACGTATAAAACAAATGTTTCACACAGACTGCGGTCGGACACGAGGGATGCCATGCCATCCTTGTCCTGGACAACGGCAGTGTTCTGTTCACGGGCATCGCTAGACGCGGCGAAGACGGCGACAGCGAGAAACCACGCCGCAACCCCAAACCTACGCGCCCCAAGAAAATAACTAAGGTAATATCAATTTAATAAAAATTAAAGTAAAACGGAAATACAAGCATTTGTGTTATTTTTTTAATAATTCGACGAAATAACATTTTATAGTCATTCTGTGCCACTTTTACAGGTATTGATAAATGTTTTCTAAATGTCTAGGTGGAGGGTCATCATATCGTGTACGCGGCATGTAACTACGGTTCGACCGCTCTTTTGACTCGTCAAGGCCTATTGTTTATGTTCGGAAAGGACACGCAGCATTGCGACGAGTCGGGTTTGGTGACAGGCCTCAGGCACGAGAGAATCATACAAGTAAATAATTATCCTCTATTCATCATTACAGTTATCTATCCAACAAGATAGAAGCCCGCTACACACGTTTCATTTTAACCGATATATACAGTTAAAATGCAGAACGTGTGAAGCAGGCTTAACTCACTGGTAGTGAATTAAAACACCTTTACTTTTTAAATGAAATAGTTAACTTAACAGAGACATAATGTATTAGTAATTTGTGTTGTTTAATACTTCAGGTAGCGCTCGGTAAAGCGCATGCCGTTGCGTTAACAAACTTCGGACAAGTCTATACTTTCGGTATAAACAATAAGAGCCAATGCGGCAGGGAATTCGGCTACGGTAAGGAAAGTAAGTACAACTTACCAATCTTGGTTTTGTCATTAATTATTTTTCTGTTAAAATTAAAGCCGAAAAGTTTGAACTTAATATTCTTTACTAATACACTACACGAATTCACAAATTTTGTATTAAAACATATTTCATCTCAGGATTACAAAAATAATGAAAGATAAACCAATATATTTTTAAACAAACTAGACAATAATTACGTTTCAATAGCAATACTGTCTGGATTTGAGAAATCTGTTTTTCATTGGTTATTTACTGAATCTGTCTTAGTTTTAGGATGTGCTACATTTTCTACATTATTATAGAATACCACCCACGGCGTACTCGCAAGGAGGAGGTGCAGACGTGCCCTGGCGAGCACACCTTCGCCACCGATTACTGTCGCGTGTGCACTGTCTGCCGGCGCTGTACTGGCTTGGAAAACGAGTGCTGTTGCGGACCCATACCATCGCGTGTACCCGGAGAGTAAGTTACATAGACACAATATACATGTTAAAATACATTACCTTACAAAAGATCCTGTAATTGATTTATTAGAGTATCATGGTAACAACAAACTTTAAATTTCATCAAAACCAATAAGAATGCTTCAAATAGTTGGTAACAGCAATATCAAGTGTATAATAAAACTAATAGTTGCGTCGTTCAGAGTTGAGTTGACCAAAAAATGCAGTCATATCCCGATCGCTTGAAGTACTAGATGTCATACTTTACTAGATAAAACCAAATCTTTTCAAGTTATGTAATAAATGTAAACGTTTAAAACTAGATACTGCAGGGCATGCATTTGCGGCGAAGGCGACAGCAGTTGCTCAACTTGCGGTGTCTGTCGCAAATGTGCTCGCGTCGCCAAAACACCGCGCACACCGAAGGCGGATGTAGACGAAGCCATTGAAGTCGATCCCCCCGAACAGAAATCTGGTATTTTTTACTCGATTACAAAATGACAGATACTAATTATTATACGGAGGTATTTTTATTATCAGCTAGCTTTCGACGGCAGCATTCCGGATAATTTTAAAAAAAAATTAAAACAAGTAGCCTATGTGTTCATCCAGACCAGACTAAGACTATCCTTTATATCTATGGCAAGTTTCATCGAGATCCGTTTAGCCTTTCAGGCTACAAACTCAAAGATCCTTCATACAAACTTTCGCATATTAATAAAGTAAGTTGCCAAAATAAGCGGCCACCTGAATACGCTTAAATAGCGAAGCGATTTGCACATATACATCCGCAATTGCAGATGTGTTTACCTTTGATCTACGTAAGAGGGGACACACAAAAAGAGGATATTTCATCTTCCTTTGAGGTCCCCGTCGAAAAGATACAATCTGATGAAATGACTTCAATGAATTTCAAGCATGTGTTTTGTGTGGTCGTTGTATTGTAAAGGGGGAGCCGGCATTGATGCTGGTGTCTACCACTGTTAAGTACTAATCACAGATCCTTGTGCTGTGAACTGGATATAATGTTAAGTGTCAATAAATAGTACCAGAGAGCGAGGAGATGAGCAAAGCGATGGAGTACGAGATGGCGAGCGCTGGTCCGAGTAACGAGGTGGAGGTAGACCGTGGCGAGAGGAGTGACAGGGACGCAGCTGTGAAGCTGAACAGTCTGCCGCCGGCGCGCATCGCCGTGCCCGGAGGACATCGTGTCGTCGCTATCGCCTGTGGCTTACACCACACGGTGCTGCTATCGCAGAATGGTAATAAAATTTATTAGAAAAGATAAAATGTAACAAACCTACTAGTGTCAAAACAAGACCATCTTTGTAAGTCTGACTTAAAACAGACAAGTTTGTTGCAGTCTGTATCCTTATGTCAGCTGTAATGGACCAAAAATTATGTTTTTTTGGAATTCATTAGTGCCAGCAATAGGTATTTAAATTGACCTTGTTTGTAAACAGGTGAAGTGCTGACGTTCGGGTCCAACCAGATGGGTCAACTTGGCGCTGGTGACGTTGCGCCGCATCACCGCATCGTGCGGCTGCGGTCGCTGCGCGCGTTCGCTGTCGCTGCCGGCAGCAACCACACCGCCGTCGTGTCGCGAGACGGCGAACTCTATACTTTCGGCTATCATCAGGTGCCTACATACGGATAATAACGTATCGCACGCTAAACGCAGTACTAGCCCAACTCTAAGTTCATCATCATCACCAGCTCATTATATATCCCCATTGAGGGGCTCGTAGTCTACCCCAACTTAGGGGTTACTAGGCTAGTCAACCACGCTAGCCCACTGCCTGTTGATTGATTTTACACATACATTTGAATTTCTTCGCTGATATGTGCAGGTTGCATCGCGATGTTTCCCTTCACCGTAAGAACGTCGTGTAAATTATGTACATACTAGCTTTCGCCCGCGACTGCGTCCACGCGGTATTAAAAAAACCTAAACCAAGTAACCTATATGTTCTTCCAGACTACCCTCTACATGTATACCAAAATTCATTGAGATCCGTTCAGCAGTTTAAAGCTAGTGCATAAATATTTGGTATGACTTACATATGTTCTTGGTACAGTTACATATAATATTTGTTCCTATTTTTTTGTTATTTATTTTTTGTTTGTTGTTGATATTTTATGTACAAAGTTATTTGTTTGAACTTTTTTGTGATAATAAATTTTTTATGTTATTATTTTTTTTTATTTCATATTCAATCCGGTTGTGAGCTTTTCATATGAAGTTAACTTTTATTTTGTTAAATAAAATTCGTTACTACTGATGAAATTTTTTTAAAATTAAGAGAAAATACGTATTTAAATAAATACGTAAGAAAAAGGCAAGATGGCAAGGGTAAAGGATGGCCTGTGATTCATCAAAAGAAACGCAAAAATAATTTTTAAGACTAATGTCTATAAATACAGAAAATATAAAAGTACATTTGGTGAAATAATTTTGTAAAAAAAAAACTGCTTAAAGCATTTGTCGATATTTGTCTACGGAACATTTGTAGAAAGGCGCAATACACGAACGTGTTAGTAGTAAATTTTAAACGCTAGTAAATATCGACCTATTTCAGCTTAATGTTATATAAAATAGATAACCTACCTAGTTTTGGTAGCGGTATTGGATAATCTTACTAATAATAAGGACTTAGCTGACAATCTTAGCGAATTGCATCTAAAGTGTATCACCATTGGGCCTACGTTCAGCAGTGGGAGACCTTAGATCGACAATGATGTTGACACTGGTCTAAGATGATGATGAAAAGCTTTAAGTGATCTCAGAGGTGTAATCTTTTCGTGGTTTCATCTACTCGTTCTATCATGAAGTTTTAATAGTGCGAATGTAATTTGTGCAAACAGAAAGGGTCACTGGGACGTCAACAGCCAGAGGAGCCCCAGCGTCAGGAGCGCGGGGTTTGGTACGCAACTCCTGGCCGCGTCTCACGTATCGGGCCCCGCGACACCTCTAAAGCTCTTTGGGTCTCCGCGTGCGGCGACCAGACCTTCGTCCAACTCACTCAGTCCGTTGTTAAGACAGATTCTCTCTTTAGTTCGACGATAACTGCTAATGGCAACAATATTGGTATGTATTTAACCTGTGCCGTTGATTTATCACCGTCAAATTACTTGTAAATATGGCGCCTGAAAATTGGGAATAGCAAATGTATTATAATGTCGAATACGTGCTATTCGAAGAGATTTATTACTATATGTTTTTTTTTGCCATCTCATGATCTAAACTAACCTGAAAGTAACTTTTTAAAGATTTATTCATTAAATTTCTTACTTTAATAACTAAAGGAGTTTATTACTCTTGTCATACAGTGATCCTGCCCAATCGACCAGAGCACACATTCAAATGCATCACCATAAATAAAGTGGATGGATCTTGCAACGCGTGGACTGGATCTGAGCAATTCGAGTTTGTGAACAGTGTCGCATGCCTGGACCCCCTGTACGATGTACTCTGGAGCTACCAGCCGGCAACGAGAGTCATGAAGTGCTTCAACATTCTCGCCTTCGATGCCAACAAACTGCAGCGTTGCTATAACGATCCGGATGCGACAACCGAAAATGAAAATCAATACCCTAATTTCGGCATTATGAAGCGTTTAGAAGACTTCAAAGATCTGACGACTTTCGATGAGTGTCGTACTAATGAGGAGAAACCAACAGAAAATTTAACACGAACCAACTTGTCCGTGTTACACCACGACCTTGCTATACCCAACGTTGCTGGCTGTCAAGTAACAAGGATGCATGCGGCATTGCTTCTCTTGGGCTGTTTGGACACTCTTACATATGCTCATGATAATAAGTAAGTATTTCACTTAAAATAAAACTTAACTTGCAACGTATAAGTTTCATAATTTTCACAGGTGCTTTAAACATGTAGCTTCAATTCTACTGGATTTCACTAAGATGTACTACTTACGTATTTGAGCTGACAACCTATCACTTAAAATAAACTACAAAGTAGTTATACTGTATACTACTGTGGGTAAAAACATTAAAAAAAAGCAATCAATGAAGCTGCTTTATGTAAACTCGATTGTGTGTGAACCAGGCTCACAATAACGGAATACAAACCCGACAGCATGTCAATGGGCGCGCCGCCATTGCTGGAAGACTTCCTGATGGTGAACCGGTTCGCTGGTCACGGCGGCGGCTGGGGATACTCCGAAGATGCAGTAGAAGCTGTACGCTTCATGTGCGATACGGATATTTTATTAGGTTAGTATGTTCACATTATGCTAGTGGTCGCATATGTTTGACATTCAATCAGATCGTTTTAAAGGATCAAGTTGGTTATAAAGCGATTCTGATTATAAATAAGGTCTTATTTCTACCAATGGATGACCGCTATAAGTTTAAATACACCTAGTCTCCAAAAAGTACTCACAATACTAGAGGTTCCAAACAAAGGCTTGAAGTAGAAGATGTTACGCCGCATTTCTTCATTTTTAAAAAGTAAATTTAGAACTCGCATTTAGAACGAGAACTTTCCAATGTGCACAGAATTCTTATACTCCTAGCGGATGTCAATGTGTATTATACAAAATGCATCAGCACGACTATTAGCGCGACCAGCACCGAGTAGACTTTTGCTGGAAAGGGGATCCAAATCTTTTTTTATGCATTGATCTAGATTTTTCATTTAGATTTTAAATTGGATTTTTTTTAAGTCAGAATAATTTGCGCAGGTGGATATGGATTATACGGAGGTCGTGGCGATTACACGGCATCGATCAAGTTGTTTGACATTGGAAGGCAAGGGGGTGAGCAAGAAGGGGATGGGGAGCTCGTTGCTGAAAGCGATGAGGTCGTGTACGAATGCGCACCCCAGGATCGCTTCCCCGTTTTGTTTGATTCTCCAGTATCTATATCGGTGAGTTAATTGCTTGAATACGAAGCATTAGTCTAAGTGTGTTTGTATGCACTCTATATTATTTTATAATTGTAGGCTAATCGATGGTACGTGGCTTGGGCTAGCGTCAGTGGATCTTCTTCTGACTGCGGCTCCTCGGGCCAATCGATGGTCATTAATGATGAAATCGCCTTCCAATTCAAATCATCTAAAATGTCCAACAATGGCACGGACGTGAATGCGGGACAAATACCTTGTCTCCTGTACACTGTTCTAGGTAGCAATGCTTTGGCGCTCCGACAAAAACAAAGACGTGAGCCAGTAGTTGTTTTATCAAAGAACATTTCTCGTAAAGTCACCGTCGGATGCTTTAAATCCCTGATAATGGTAATGGAATGGTGCTGGAAGGCATTCAGAGATATGGTTGAGTCAACAAACGGATTAGTCCCCATAAATTTTCAAAAACTAAGTGCGATGAAACAGCAAAAAAGATTGGTGTTTATTATAAGCTCCTGCATGAGACTTGTAAGATCTTATATAAATGAAATTTTCCCAAACACTAGTAAAAAGAGGAATTCTTATGAGTGCTCATCATATTCCGAGGCTATCGGTGACTTACGCAACTTCCTCCAGAGTATAATGGCACAGCAAGTACCCATTTGTGCACCGTTGCCGCGGCGCTCCGGCAGGCGAGGTTATAGAGCTTGCTACGTTCAGTTTTCTTTGGAATTGACACACTCTGTGCTTAAAGAGGCTCACGACACGGTCACTTCGTGCTTCCACGCGTTTTATCCAACGCCTACACTCAAATGGAACCATTTGTGCTCCCGGCTGATTTATGTTAAGGTATTATATTCCATTATTTTTGTTATACTCATATGTACTTGAAAGGGACATGATAGTGTCTACAGTAAGTATAATTGCTGCAACAGGAGGGGAAAGTACCTATGGCCAGCGTGATGGAGCTGTCGTCAACGTGCGCGGCGCTGTGCAGCTCTAACAACTTGCTAGATGTGCTGCAGTACATCGTGGGGGTCACGCAGAGTTTCCTGCACGCAGAAGACAAACGCCGCGCTGAACGCTCCGACGCCAAGGTAGGATCTGATCTGAGTATTGCCTTATTCTAGGTTTGCAGGGTAGATTAACTATTTGTAGACTATCCATGTTGATAGTATCTCAACAGATATACGGAGCACGAATAAAAACATATGTTTTAAGAGGTTTCTGTAATAACAAAATAAACATACTCATATTTCCAAATGGTCGGTCAAACTCATAATTTTACCAAAAAAATAATTTTGCATTATTAGTAATCATACTATTTTTTTTTTGTAGATGGCGAAGGACAGCCAGTCTAACCCTGGTCCATCGTCGCGTTCCACGTTCTCTCAGAATCCGCCTCCTGTGCCGCCTAGATCAAACAATACAGTATGTTACTTTTGAAACCTAATCAATGCGTACATTACAAGATCATATGAGTTTAGATTTTGACGTTATAGAAAAAATCAAAGATTATACGCAGTTCTTATTATCGAAATTAATATTTATAATAATAATTTAAAAATTACGATATTGTGTAAATAGTTTCTCACTTTAGTAAAAAGTGCCAACATTCATTACAAACTCTGAAGTAGTTATAATCGTTGGTGGCGCCATGAACATTTCATACGCTCATGCAGTTCTTTGTTACATAGAGCCAAGAGGAAAGTGAGCCGCAGCCGCCATATGTGGACTGGCATTTGATGGACGCAATGCCCCGTCTGTTGGACATGGTCCTGATACCAGTGAAGCAGCGGATGACGACACGGCCGTGCCCCAAGCCCCACGACCACGGCGAGGCCGCGGCCCACCAGCGCCTGGCCGAATACTGCTGCAAATTCTTAGTGCGGATAGTCGCTGAACTAGCGCAGTGTACTAACGATGCCAGGGTGAATATTAAATTACATTATTACAAGTCAAGTAAACATTTCCATCCAACACTATATGTACAGTGAAATCATTATTTTGTAGTCGGAACCATAGAACCAATTTTCAAAACTTTCATATACATTTATGCAGCGAACTGTACTTAAGTTTTAAAGTCTTTTCATTGTCCATGAAGGGAAATCTTGAGCATAGATATCTCACATACTGAATCTATACTGAGGTATCTTTAACGACTCCGATTGCGACCGTTAATCGAAAATATCACCTCAGAAGGAGAAAGAAAGAAAATAACATAAATGTATTTTTTGTTTCAGGACGAACTGGACTCAAATACTGTGAAGCATCTAGTCACCCCGTCGCGCTTTGTTCGCGTGAACCCGAACCGTGCTTGGAACACGGGCAACGGGAGTCCCGATTCCATCGCTTTCATAGTGGACAGACCCGGCGTTATGCTGGTCGGAGCCTGCGTCTACGGCGG